GAAGCTATTGGAGTAGAAGAGATGGCTACATTTAACAGTTTCGACAGTGAAAGGGTGGGAGTGAGATGCCAGCCTAGGAGAATGCTTAAATTCATAAAGTCTGGGAACCAGCGAAAGCAGCTCATCAGAACAGTTACCATGAGAGTATTTGTAAAAAAGACAGAGGGAAGCAAAGGCATGTCTGTGAGAGAGCAACTGCAGATGAGATGCCAGATCAGGGTCAATTACATTGCATATCCGTCTCTGGGTTTTATCAAGATCCTTGAGACAAACATAAGGAGCACCAGACCATATATAGCAGCTATACTCCATGCAAGGGCAAATGGTTGATTTGTAGATTTGAAGGATTGACTTCGGTGACAGAAATTTCCTGGTGCGGCACAGGGAGCTAACTTTCCTTGTGGTGGACGAAGGTTTTATGTTTGAGTTTATGTATCTACATATCAATATTCTCACTACGGTATTCATTCAAAAATATAGAATTTAAGAATCAACAACTGAGGAATAACAGGGCTAAAAAAAGAAAAATAATTTGGTTCTACACCCCCACCACCACCTTTAACCTGCAAGTAAAAACAAAAATAGGAAAAATATTTTTTGGTTTGTTAAGGAAATATTTCCCTAAATCCTCTGAATTGTCAAGAATTTTTAACTGTAACACTGTAAAATTGAGTTACAGTTGTATAGGCAATTTAAGTAACATATTAAAAAGGCAAAATGTGAGGAATTTGGATAAAGACATACATAAAAGCAGAAAGACAATAAGTTATGTAATTGCAGAAACAAAAGTAAATGTCCTTTGAACAGAGCCTGCTGCATGAAGGATGTGATTTACTAAGCCAAGCTGTTATCCTTGACAGTGGCCAAAAGAAAGTTTATATTGGATGCACTGAAGATACTTTCAAGAAATGCTGGTACAACTATGCTGTTTCTTTTAAAACAGAAGATGCTAGGTATAGTACAAAGTTGGTGGACTATGTTCAGAGGTTGAAAGAACAACAACATAAAAGTCCAAGTGTGCAGTGAATTATTTTAAGGAGGGTCCAATCTGATAGGACAAATGGCAGCAGCTGTAGATTATGCCAGGAAGAGAAGTTGGTGATTGCTACATATCCCAATGGTGCAGTGTTGTTGAACGACAGATCAGAGATTGTGTCAACATGTTGGCACACACATTCTTGGCCTCTATGATCCCAGGGGAAGACAAATAAAGAAATTTTTTTTCTTTCTACATCTCCCACCCTTTTTGACTTCCGGTGTCATAGTAATGTTAAAAAGAAATTTGGGTTGTATCGAGGAGCATTTTTTACCTAATGACCTGGTGCGACCTCATAGTTGAAACCTAGGTAGTGCAAAAGGCTAAAGTGTTTTCATTTTATTATATTAAACTGCTCTGCATGTTCAAATTTCTGAACTATGCATTAACCAATTTTTTTTTTATATATACATATCCTTTTTGGTATGGTAATTTTCCAGCCTATTTTATATATATATATATATATATATATATATATAAAAACCCTGTCTAAAGTTATTAAGCAAATCATATAAACTTCAATAATTCAAATTTGGTTAGAAAAAAATTGCCAAATTTTAAAACAATCAATTTAGATGTCAAAACAAAGCCGGAGTTAAAATTTTAGATCGTATCAATGTTTTATTGAAGTTATTTGATGTATTCTAAAAAAAAACTACCGTCTGAAATTATTAGGCAAAACCAAATAATCACATGTTACTTTAATAAAAAAAGGTAATAAAATCATCAAAAAACTGATTAACACTTATAACAGAATGAATAACAAACACATATGATAAGTCTTTGAATTCTTTACATTTTTAATATAATGACCCTCCTTCTCAAAAACAGCCAGTAATCTATTATCCATTGATTTTGTTAATTTTTTTTTTTTTTTTTTTTTTTTATTTCAGCTTGGTTTAATTTCCAACATGGTAGTTTTAATTGCTTTGCATAGGTCTACTTTGCTGTCATATTGTTTTCCACCTCCATATAATTTCATCTTCACAACTGACCATAAATTTTTGATCACATTCAGATCAGGACTTGATAGAAGTCATTCCATTATTTTCTCTCCTGTAAATCTTTTTTTGCTCAAATAATTCACAGGTAAACTTAGATATATGAGAAGGAGCATTGTTGTGCAGAAATATACACTTCACTTTGAAACTGCAACACTGAGACTTGTACCATGCAAAGAAAATCTTGTTCATAAAACCGCAATAGTTAGCACTGTTCAGTTTAACCACTTCATCAACTTTGAATCATCCAGTAATGATTTAGTTAACAATTCCAGCCCATATCATAACACTACCACCTCCTTATCACCTTCTTTTAGCCACAGATACATCTAAATTGGATAAAATCCATCCTTTGGCCCATCCATTGTGTCCATCAAATGTCACTTGAGATATGTCTATGGTGTGGTTTGTTTTACTCAGTGGGTTATTTAATGCCAACGAAATTTTCATTATTGGTAATATTTTTTTCCTTCAAAAATCTATTTCTGGCAATATTTTTTTTCCTTCAAAAATCTATTTCTGGTAATATTTTTTCCCTTCAAAAATCTATTTCTGGTAATATTTTTTCCCTTCAAAAATCTATTTCTGGTAAGAATTTTCCTTCACTGATAATATTTTTTTCCCAAAAAATGTATTACTGGTAAAAATTTTTTTTTTACAAAGTATTTCTGGTATTAAAACCTATTTTTACACTTTCATAGTGTTTTTGACCTGAATTTGGGGGTTAACTATTTGCACATAGCTGGGACCCTAACAGGTGCTGCCACCCCAAGTTAGGGTGGACTTGGGAACATCAGCAATTAAGAGGTGGTTCCACGCTCCTCAAAACCTTCTCATCAGAGGTTTTGCTGTTGACGTAGTTTATCGTCTTACCCAGGACGCAGATGTAGTTTACCATCATACCCAGGACGGGATTTATCTATGAAGATGACTTTAGAAAAGTCAATTTTCATGTATTTCTTGGCCCAATTTTGATGCATTAAGATATTTGCTTTAGTGAGACGACATTGCCTCGGAGATTTTTTTTTTTTTACAGATCACGAAATATTCCACACTTTTTGTCCTTCTTGACTCCCTCAATTCTAGCCTTTTCAAAGATTTGAGTGCTATTCAAAAGTGATTGTTTCGCTATAACTCACTTTAGTTTACATTCATCTTGAGGAAGCAAGTTTTTAAAGTTTTTTCCTTTGCTTCAAGTTTTCAATTTACTTAAATTTTCAACAACCTTTTTCATTGTTCGATGATCTCTGCAAAACTCCAATGTGGACTAACCTATTTTCTGTTTTTCACCAGTTGTTAGATCCTTTACTTTACTCATGTTTCAACATATATTGTGGACTAAAAGAAAAAAACAGTTTTTATTAGATTAGAGAGGTCTTAGGCTAATATTAGTTTAATCTAATCTGCATATTAACTTCAGTCAGTCAGTCAATATATATATGTTTTGAACAATAAAAAATATTAAAAAGTTAAAATCTTCAGACACACTGGGTTGTATATTAATATTCTTTCGTTTTTATTATTATTTCATTTAGAATCCTTGACCAGTTTCAGCCAACATGGCCATCATCAGGAGAAAAAAAAAATTCTGCTTGCTGGTAGCAGTGAACTACAAATGAAATAAATGTCTTGGAGAAAATGAACTTTTGTTTGTAGTTTTCATTTGTTTTTTTTTGTTTTTTTAACATGAATTTTGGTCAGTCCTTGTGTTGGCCAATCTCTTTTAAGTTGTTATTTAAGATAAGAGCTGGATGGATTCATGCTACTCTGAATTCCCTTGGTCATTTTGACAGTTTTATTGGTTCCTGGAAAGGGGATGTGTCTCTTAAGTGTATGTGCATTATTTGGTTCTTGGGGAGTGAGTGGTACTATATATATATATATATATATATAGATAGATAGATAGTACCTGAAGATTGCATAGTGCATGAAACTCTGAGTTGTATTGTTGGAATGGGTATTATGTATTTTTATTAATATGTATTTAACAGTTGTTATTTAACACCGAGCATTGTTTTTCTTACACCAAAGTATATATGTAAGTATTTGTATGTGAATGCTTACACATACATTTATTTATATTTATTCATTTGATTATATATTGTATATACAGTCTTCACATTTTCCTAATACTTTTAATACAAGCTGTACACAAATATTTGTAAAGAAAGTAATAGGTTACATGTGCCACATTCAGAGGCAGGTTTAAAAGGATTTTTTTCTTTTTCTTATGAAAAGAGGAATTTGACAGTTGGCTAAGAAATTCACCTAACCTCAATCCCACCAAGAATCTTGGAGCCTTTATGAAGAACATATTGAAAATGTCCTTGACCAAAAGATCAAGTCAGACAACTGGTGAAATTTTGGATCAATTCAAAAGCTAAAAACAGTCAGACTGTTCCCTCATTCACTTTGATCTTATAAAGGATTTTGGTTAAAAACTACTTATAAAGATATTGGCAGTATATTGATGCTTGCAAAAAAATAAAGAGTGAGAAAGAGAGTTTTATTATACCTTTATAATATATTTAAAGTGGATTTACAGCTAAAACATTGTAATAAATATGATGACAAAGATGAGGAAAATAGTCCAAATAATGTAAATAGTGTACATAATACCTCATCTCAGAAATATAGACAGATACTAAAGTGGATTTTGTTTAACTTTCTAGTGGAATATCAATTAAATATATTGATAATTGATCTATTCATTTTCTATGACTTATCAACTTTTTGCAGGTTAATTAAAACCAGAAAAAATTTTACATTCTAAGAATTTTTTTCATAATTAGTGATAAAAGTCCTACTAATTAACTCATAGCTGGGAAGAAAAATGGTGGATTCATATCTTTCCTAAGGATATTTGAGCATATGTGACTATAATGCATCCAACTTGAACTGTAACTCAGTTCTTTAATTAACAATTCCAAGTCATTATTCATTACATCACCCGCACATCCAAGCTTACAGCACCTGGAATTCCCAAGCAGTCACCCATCTCAGTACTGACCAGGATCAACATTACTTAACCCAGTGATCATATGGGAAGCAGTGTTTCAACGTGATGTGGCCGTAAGCTGTAACTACAAAAGTTACAAAGTTCATTTTGAGATATCATTTGGACTGCTGTAGAGAGAAAGACACACAAAAAAAAACAGAAAAAATCCTTTTATGTTTTGATAATGATTTGAAAAACATTGATATATTAATAAAATTATCTGACAATAATTTTCTTATTATATTTTCTAAGAAGCAAATAAAAAAAGTTACAATAGCTGCATATTAACAAATTAATTAAAATGTTAGACATCAATTTCACTGATTAAACAAAGAAACTGGGATGTCATCTCAAATGCACACATCTACTAAATATTATGTTTTTCATAAGAAATAATTATATATATTTATATATCCAAATCAAGTAGCCGTACTCACCATGCTTGGCCAATTGAGAGTTGGTGAGGCTATTTAACTCAAAGTTGGAGTGGATGGCTATTGATTCTAAGAAGTTCATCCAAACTTTAACATTTGTTTTTTGTAGTGCAGGGGGGATTCCACTTACCCTCCTCACCAGACGCTGGCTTTTAGTTGCCAACCACTCAGGTTTTAAATTCAGAGTTGCCCTTTATCTAGAGCAGCTGCCACCCAAGGATATAGGACACAATCTGTCCTGCTATTTACACATAGCAAGGGGTGAGGGAAGAGATGAATTCATACCTTTCCCAAGAGTATTTGTAAGTAAATGTAACAAACTTGTCTAGAATTTGAACTCTCTATTTCTGTGTGTGTGTGTGTGTGTGTGTGTGTGTGTGTGTGTGTATTGAGGTCAACAGTGTTGACAATCTATTTCATGATTAAACGCAATTGTCAGGCCTGATGATTGTGCTTAAGCATGAAACAGCCTGTCAACACTAGGTGTTGACCTCAATGTCCACTTTTATATTTATATACACTCGCTCTATCCCTGATATTGAACACTTTAAACCATAAATATGGTATTCCATGACACTATTTTTATGAATATATAAAAACACACGATTTTCAATCAGCTCTTGAAGATTGCATTGGGCATGAAACTTAGTGTTGTGCTACTAATAAGGAAAAAAATGTAGATTTTATATATATATATGTGTGTGTGTGAGAGAAGAAATATAGTCTTAAGATGTGCTATATTTATGGGATAAAGTGCTCAATATCAGAGATAGAGCATGTGTAAATATAAAAGTGAACATAGAAGTCAACACTTAGGTGACAGTCTGTTTCATGCTAGATGCAATCGTCAGGCCACAAGTGATATTTTTCTTATATATATATATATATATATATATATATATATATATATATACGGGTCAGTGGTGGATTGTGGGTAGTCTATTTTGGCAGTTATTTTACCGGAAGTCGTTTATTTGTTTATTTATTTATTTGGGTTAAATTGTTTTGCTTGTTTTTATTTATTTTTATTTTTTATTTTTATTTCTTATCTTATATATAAATTATTATTTCGTGAGTTGTTTTATTATTTTTCTTTTACTTACGCTTTTGCGGTATCACCTTTACCCCAGATTCAGCTTGCACTACAGCCAGACCCCTGATTGATTTCATCTACCTAAAATCAAAGTCACAACGTGGGTAGGTTAGACATGAGATCAAAGCAGATACTCCGGTGACCGGCCGTTGGAGGTGAGCTGAGAACGACAAAGTTGGTATCGAACCGTAAACGACCAGATCGACCGGGACACAGGGTGGTGGCGGTGACAATGAGTCAACCCCAAACGCTGGTGGAAGAAACCTTACAGCTTCACGCCACAACTAGGTGTTGACCACAGGCCAACAGCGCAGCATCAGATATTGATGTCGCAACCAGTGGACGTCACATATTGGTGCTGGATTCACAAGACAGAAAGGAACCATACCAAATTGCTGTGAAAAAAAAATGAAAAGTCCGAATATAAAGCAAAACCTTAAACCCAATTCCACATCACCATCAGAAAGGGAAGCATACTCAAATTGCTCAAGCAAGTAGGGAAAAAAAATACAGCTGAATGTATCTTAGAGAATCTAGTAGAGATTATAAATATGGCAGTGTAGATGGGGCAGTATGGTCTGTATTGTCTCAATATCCTGGAAAGAAAGAATGGTCAAAGGATTGATCCTGTCAGTATGCCATGTTAAATATTGAGAAAAGTGGTTTTCATCAAATTAGACTACTCATACCAGAAGCTTTTATTAGCACCTATGTGTTAACGCTTTAAAGAAGAACAGCAAGGCTCAGGCCTTTAGATATCAACCCCAGCCTTCTCGTTAGTCGTTGATGACCTTTGACAATGCAGCTGGTTTTTTAAGTTGATCATTTCTCTTCAAGGTCCCTGTGACCATTGTTTATCATCTTACCCACGTGGTGAGTTGTTTTTGATCTTAAGTGGGATCATTCTTGAAGCCGAAATGATAAAGAAAATTATCACTGGGAATAAATCTCAACCAAGCTAAACCAAGGAGTTAAACTTTACAGCAGTGAGGAGAAATGTCTGATTTTGAAACCCGTTTAAAAAAAATTGAAAAAATAAAATACAAAATTATCAGCTTCTCTTTTTTTGGCACACCTGAATAAGTCACTAGATGCTATTTATATCAAAAAAAAAAAAAAATTTACAGTTTATTTTTTTCTTCATAATTTCCCAACCAGTTTTTTTTTTTTTCTCATATTTGGTGATGGAACGAAAAGCCACTAGGCTCTTCTCAGATAATGGTGGCCAGTATAGTAACAATTGTATTGTGTAACTTTTTCAACCTGTTCTCAATATCCTGGGAAAAAGAATACCATTTTTTTGACAGTGAAGGGGTGAGCGGGAAAAAAAAAAAACTAAAGTTGTAGAACAGACAGAGGCGGCAGTGCGTCTGTGAAAGTGACTTAACCCTTTTCGTCAGTATGCCATGTTAAATATTGTTACATGAAAACTCCATGCAAGGGCAATTGTGGATTTGGTTTCATCAAATTAGACTCAGGGCCAACTTCCTCATACCAGAAGCTTTTATTAGCACCTATGTGTTAACGCTTTAAATAAGAACAGCAAGGCTCAGGTTGTGGCTTTAGATATCTTGAGAGCGTTTGACAGGATTTAGCACCCCAGCCTTCTCTACAAGCTCAATGGCTATGGTGTCTCTGGCTGGATATTTATCTTAATCCAATTGTTCTTAACAAATCAAGTTTTGAAAGTTGTTTTGATTGGCAACTCTTCTAGATCATTTCATATTAATGCAAGGGTCCCTCAAGGCTCCATCCTTGTAACTACATTGTTTATCATCTTCAACAACCTTTTCAGGGACAATGATATGAGTTGTCAGGTGGATACAGTATGTATTTGATGAGAGACCAATAAAGAGATAGGATCATTCTTGTACAGCTTGTGAAATGATAAAAGAAAAACTAACAAAAACTTTGAAATTCATGAATAAAACCATGTAGAGAACAAATACCTATTCCTTTTACATTTGTGGTGCACTATTTTCATCTGATAGATTTCTTTAATTATGAAAATGATCCATGGCACACATTATCCCTCGATCGACTTTACAGCAGTGAGGAGAAATGTCTGATTTTGAAACCCGTTTAAAAAATTCTGTAAGGATGATATCAGGAAAAAGAGAAGAAAAAGAAAACATTTAAATTGGCATCAGCTTCTCTTTTGTTGTTCACAATTCTGGGAATTCATGTCATGTGTCTTTAAATTTCAAACTTGATACCAAATTCACAAGGGATCCAAAAAAGAAAAAATTGTCAGGCATCAGTACAAAACTAAAAGACAAACAGAAAATAAAAATTTAACAATACTAAAGTATTATCAAAATTTATAACTCAGAGCACAAAAAGTTGGGGCTCCTAACTACCAGTCGGGAAACAGCAACCAGAGAACTGTCAAATAATTGCACGCATCACGGGAGAAACAGACCTTAATACCTTAAAAACATTTCTACTCCCTTTGTGTCTGGGTAGTATTTTACAAGAGAAGGTTTTTTTTTTTTTTGCACAAAAACAGAGGAAATTGGAGGGGGAGATAACAGGTAAGTTCACAAAGGGTTACTTTAACATTTTTAACTTAGTATAAGTCCCCTGAAAAGTCGGTTTATTATCACATCCAGTAGAAGACATTCAATTTTCCACTAGTTTTTTACTTTTTAACACTAGTACTAAATTATCAAATAAGTAGGGAAGGTTATGAATCCATCTCTTCTCCACCTCTACAAGCTATCAATTTAAAATAGTTGGGTAGACCTAGCTTTCTAGCCTTGGGTGGCAACAAAAGAACTCTGAATTATAAACCATAGAGAAAGCAATGGAAAATCACCATATTTCCCAAGAATGTATGCCAATTCATAGATAAAGAAAAAGATTATTTTTTTTAATCATTTCACCCCAATCAAGGTAAGGAAGTCACTATGATGCAAGGGGTTAAGGAGTGTGAAAGAATGAGAAAAACAAAAACAGGAGAGAACAGAAATTAACCCTTTGATCCCCAACCACCTCTTTACCAGTGGTAGAGAACAAATGACATAATGCCCAACCACTGGTTAAACAGTGGTAGAGAAGAATGATTTAATGCCCAGATACCGGTTGAATGGTGGATAAACACTTGTAACTATTTTTATACCTACAGTGAACATCAAAGTGGACTGTAAAGTAAAAAAAATCAAAAGAGTTCCACAAGTAAGAAGTGCAAGAAAAGAAACTGTTAGCATAGAATGTTCAAAAATTTAAATGCAATGTCAATTATTATCTTCTTAACCCTTTGAACTCTGGATTCCTAAACAATTTTAACACTTCTGCCTGATCTCCTGAGTCAAAATTCACAAATAATTGGTATGTAATGCTTTTCAACCGATTTCGACAAAACTTGCACACTTTTTTCTTTATTTTTATATTCAGAATGCTTTAAAAATTCCATTTACAAGACAATTGTTTATAATAAAATTCTATTCAATCGGTAGACTCATAACGATTGAAAACAATGTTTTTGTTTGAGTTTGACCAATTCGTAAAAAAAAAAAAAAAACTAATTAAGACATGCATGTCCATCAACC